TGCATGGAAAAAAAAATTAGTTAAATCTCAATCTCCATGACTCTGGGGTTCCATATCTGTACTTCAAATGCAAAGATATTGTAAGAAAAATTAGAAAATTAATGTGAGCACATTTTGCAACAACAGAAAATAGTAGCATGAAGGCAGTTAAAGATATGTAATTATTCTGTTAGCCTTCATGAATTTGATCAATGTTGTTACTATTATCTTTTTTCATTCATGTTTACCTCTTTTTCATTGATTCTTTATCTTATTCCCTTCCTCCACATGTCCCAATGTCATAAGCTTTTTTTTTTTCTTTTTCCAAAGAAAATGTGAATTGAGAGAATGGTTGCTTTTTATTTTTTTAACTGTATGCGGTTATAATTGTCTAAATTGTTTTCTATATTATTGTAGCAACTGGATTTTTTTTTTTTTCCTCAACAGAATAGGAGACTTGAATGTTGACTCCAGTGGTTTCCACTTCTGTTTAATTCAGGTCAGGATTTATGGAGACCTCATGTGGTGACAAGAGGCACCACAGAAGGCTTTCTTCAGGTTGGGTATAACACAGTCAAAGAGAAATTCAGATCTCATTTGAGAGCAGCATAATCCAGGAAAATGAAGACTTAGAAGTTAATGGTACTGAAGCATGCAAGGCCTCAAAAAATCACCCTACAATAATACTGAAGGATACTAAAATAATAGCTTTAGAAATGAGAAACCTGGTCACTCATGTATAAATTTCCCTTTATTAACTGAAAAATTGATAGGACAAATTAATGTGCCATGTTGCTCAGGAATTAGTTGCAGTCTTCTTTTTCTTCTTCATGAAATCCTTGGACATATCTTTTTATTTAAATTTTCATCAAATTTAAAAACGTGCTCCAATAGGCATGTTGCTACAAATATTATTTTCAGTTCTTTTTTTGGCTTTACACAAAATGGAAAGTGAGCCAGACAAAGAATCAAACTCGAACTCGTGTTTATGACTTTCATTGGTGCAACAATATAAATAACATTATTTGCAAATATTGGAATGCAAGACACATATTTGCAATTAAAATACAGAACAATGATTCTTGGTGGTGGATAAAACTGAACATAAATACATCTTGTTGCTGACAAGGTATCAGAGTTATGAAATTAAATTAATTAGTGTGGTAGTAAACATATATCAACCACATAATTTACTGGTACAGAGTAAAGAAAATTCACTGGGTTTGGGGTAAGGTGGTGGAAGAATCCTTGGTCATTCATAAGCACTTATTCTTTAACTCTTTATCCTTACAAGAAAATGTGAGTATGCCTTCCACTTTCTCCTTCTTAAAGAAGTTACATAGTCTGATGTGAGGAATTGGGGGGGGGGGGTTAGGGAAGGAAAAAATGAAACAAGATGGGATTGGGAGGGAGACAAACCATAAGAGACTCTTAATCTCACAAAACAAACTGAGGGTTGGGGGGGGGTAAGGAGAGGACAGTTGGGTTAGGGGCACTGGGGAGTATATGTGATATGGTGAGTGCTGTGAAATATGTAAGCCTGACAATTCACAGACCTGTACCCCTGGGGCAAATAATACATTATATGTTAACAAAAATAACTAATTTTAAAAAGAAGTTACATAACAGTACTTTAAGCTAAAATTGAGAAGGACAAATAAGTTAATAAATGTTAGATGTTTTCAAGTCTTTAAAAAAACAGACCAATGTAAATCTATGGCACTAAAATGAGTTCCAGTTTGGTTATCTAATAGGTCTCCCGTCTTTGGAAATGTCCTCAGAATAGCTTAGGATTTCTAGACCTGGGAAATTGAATAGGTAGAGATAGTCTCCTTAGAAGCCATTTTGGGAATTTAAATAGGAAAACAGTTAATAGAGATACTGGTGAAGTTTCAGATTGAGTACATTCTTATGTTAAGGGAAAAAAAGGGGTTAATTTTCAGGGTGCAGACTATGTGACTATGTGGTAGGCATATTGTTTGATGTTGGAAATGCAAAAGTGAATTGGACAGATCCTCTTGCTTTCAAGGGGGTGATAGATAATGACACAAATAATTGTCACACTATGAGCTGGCATTAAGCTGTGGGCTTGCACTACTTCCTGTGACAGCCTACTAAGGTGTAATGGGACAAGGAAGAACCACATAAGGTGCTTTAAATTCAAGAAAAGGAGCTGACTTCTCTAGTTACCATTTCAACTTCATAGTGATATTGGTTTTTGCTGGGAGAGCAGTGGGGAGCAGGCGAGTTATAGCACTTGCCAGACACACATCACACTAAAAAGACAAGAGGAAACAAGGAAATTCTCCTTCAAAACATAGTGGGGGGGGGGGAATCCAGATCTTCCCCTAAATAAAGGAAACCTTCTGGTTACAACGTGCGTTGCTAGGGATTTAGTTTTCTCTCCTAAGAGAGTAAAATCACACAGACATATTCAAGCCCTTAGGGTTTTGCGAGCATATTTTATATCCAAGACAACTGAGCCTGGTGTTAAGTATGTGACTATAGAGAAAGGGTTAAACGGAAGGGGGCGGCTCAGAGATGGGAGGGCTGGCGAGAAGGCAGGAAAACTTGCAAAAACTCTGAACTTTTAAGCTCCCAAAAATACACATGTGTGTGTCTGTGAGCGCAGGCAGATCTATTTTGGTTTTTTTTTTTTTTTTTTTTTTTTTAATCACAATCTCTCGGTCTCTCTTGCTGCGCTGCAAACACACTGAACAGCCCCTTCAGGATCGTGGCAAACGCTGCCGCAAAGGCACTGGCAGCTCTATTTATTTATGAGTCGCGTTCAAAGGCGCCCTCTCCCCATTCCTCCGCCGCGAACAACCAGCTCAGAGCCTGAGGCACCTCCCGGGCCCTGGAGCTGGGGGCGGGGGCCCGGGAACCTCCTTCCTCCCGCAAACTTTGTCGGGGCGTGGGAGCGAAGGCGCGAGCCAGGGCGCGCGAGAACGCGCCGCCCGCTGCCGCCTCCGCCTGGCGCTGGCAGCCCGGGCCTCACCTCTCCCCGGCGAGGTGCGGACGCCCCGCGCGCAGCCAGTGGGCGGTGCCGGGCGGCGCGGGGCGGGGCCTAGGGGGTGGGGGCTCCGCTTAGTATATAAAGCCGGCGCCGGCTTAACTTCTGACTTGGGGTTATTTATTTGGGGAGCGCGCGGACGGCGGAGGCTGGCAGCAGCGGTGGTGGCAGCGGTGGCTGCCGCAGACGGTGCTTAAAAAAGGCGGCGGCGGCGGCAGCGGCGAGTGATGGGAGCGACGGGGCTCTCGGGCACAGGCGGGAGCTGCCGAGCTTTCCGGGCACGGCCGGAGTGCTGAAGAGAAAGGGGAGCGTCTGGGGGCCCGCAGCCGGCTCCAGAGGCGCAGGTCGGGTTTTTGTTTGGCTGCGCTCAGCCCCAGCCAGCCCGAGCGAACAACTCCAGTTACAAGAACAACGCACCTTCCCGCAGCCGAGCGAGACTAGGGCTGCTGCGTCCGTCCTATTGTTTAGACACTTGCCTGGAGCTCGGGAGCCAGCAGGGCCACCGAGTCTCCGCTGCCTGTCGCCGCTTTCCCTCTGCCACTTCCCTCCCTGGAGAAGGAGGTGCGGAAAGCAGCCAAGAGAGGGGAAGGGTGTGGAAGGAGACTGGCTGCTCGGAACTGCGGCCGCCGAGTCAGGTGCAGCACCAGGAGCCGGGCGGCGTCTCGACGTCGGCGGGAAGACTGCCACCGTAGCCGTGGGGGACGGGATTCAAAGCCTGGGAAAAGTTCCTGCACTTTGAGGAGGGCCCACTTGCGGGCCGCTGTCGGTGGGGCGGCCGAGGGGCTGCGTCCGCCTAGGTGCCTGCTCTGGTTTCGTCCACCTTTGCCATCAGGTGTCTGCTGCGGAGCTGCGGCGTATCCGGGAGACGCGAGGGGCTGACACGCGCGCACACAGGACTGCCATTCAGCCGCCTCTTGGGCTCTCAGAGTAGCTGTTCCCACCGGCTTACTGCCACCTCGTCATTCCCCAGGACGCCAGGGCAGGACCAAAGACGCAGACACCTCCACCTTGGCCTTTGCACTCCTGCCCTGCCTGCCAGCCAGCCCCGATTCAGTCCTCGGAGGAGCTCTGGTCCTCAACTTGGCCTCTTGGATTTCCTCTGTCGGGGAGGTGACTAGTGGATATTGCCGGCTGCCGCGGCCCCATTGCCCTTTTGTCTTTTCTCCGTGACCTCGGGGAAGGCCCTGGTGCGGAGCGTCGCCAAGGACGCCAGGCGGGAGGCGGAATTACCCGAGACATCCTTCCGCGAAGTGCATGTGTGTTTGCAAGCAGCCCTCGGCTGTCGGGAGACGGCGAGGACCTGTCCCGGCTGCAGAAGAGCCGCAGGCTGTCGGGAGGCCGCGCGAGTAAGCCGCGCCGGAGCCCTGCAGCGCCGCCCCGTGCCCTCCGGGCTGTGCCCCCGCCCCGTGCGCCCCCGCGCGCCATGCCCAGTAGTCCCGCGCGCTCCGCTCCCCGCCCGCTGGGCTCTTGCGCCTTCTAGCTTTGGAGAGCCCACTTTGATCGAGGCCACCATTTCTACTGAGCACCTCTCTTCTGTCTCCTAGCCTCCCCCTGGAATCGGATTTGCAGAGGGGGTCAGTAGAATCGGAGCACTCCCTTTTCCGCGCAACCAGCTCCTGCTGCATCTTTACGCCGTTAGGAGCCCCAGCTCTTTTACCGGCAAGTTGATCTTTCAGAGACAGACGACGCGTGATCTCCTTCTCGGAGCTTTGGGGTCTCCTTGTAGCCTTGGCCTGGCCGATTGATCTTCAGGACCTAAAGTTGCCCGAGGAGCGCCTGCCCGGCTGGAGGAGGGTGGAGGGGAGGTGGGAGGCGCATACCTGTGTCAGCTCTATTGCCGTGAATATTATTATTGTTACTACCATATTATTTTGTGTGCATTTATCCGGACACTCTGGGTTCCTAGCCCCGTGCCAGATACTGGGCCTCAGACACAGCGCGATTCGCGCGGAGCAACGAGCTAAAGAGGAACCCCCCGCGCCGGCGAGCGAGGAGGCGGCGGGGGAAGATGCGCGGCGTCGGCTGGCAGACGCTGTCCCTGTCGCTGGGGTTAGTGCTGGTGATCCTGAACGAGGTGGCGCCGCAGGCGTGCCCAGCACAGTGCTCCTGCTCGGGCAGCACAGTGGACTGTCACGGGCTGGCGCTGCGCAGCGTGCCCAGAAATATCCCCCGCAACACTGAGAGACTGTGAGTATGGGATCTTACACCCCCAGACCCTTACACACACTGGGTCACGCATCCCTTTCGTCGAGACTGGAGGGATCAAGCGGCACAGGGACCTTTGCCTGGGTAGCTCTCTTGCAGGCGCATCCTGGACTAGAACTCCCTTGGGAGGGCGAAGGACAGGAGGGCGCTGCACAAGGAGGGGCCGCTGCCCAAGGAGGGGCGGGCCCGCTGGCAGCTGCGCTTGGTCCCTTCTTTCCACTCTAGTCCAGCCACTTGCATCCCAGGGCAGGCGACTTCTCTGGGGCTTGGGCAACCGGGGACGTGGGGACAAGTACTCGCCGATGCCCAGGGCAAGGGAGACGCGACTTTGTCCCCCACACTCTGCAAACGGAATCACCTTGCGGTTGCCAACACTAGCGGGTCGGTTTCAGGGCCAAATCCCAGCTTTTGTCGCCGTGGGGTGGCGCGGAAGGAGATTGGCGGGGGGTACTCAGAAGGGAGAAACCTCCGCTCCCCGGGTTAGTGTCACCCTCCTGGGGACGGAGGGGTGGGGAGAAGGGGTCGTAGGGCGTCTGGTTCCGCCCCGGGGCGCTTCTGCAGGCCTCAGAGGGAAGGATGCCCCAGGACCTAAGTGGCTCGCTCGGTCTCCGCACGCCACCCCCGCTACTCTTTCCCCCGCCCCACACGTCTCCAGGGAGGAGGCGGTGGCGGCCCGTCCCTGGAGACCTGTCCCGACTGGTGACTGAAGAGGAGGACCTTTTCCCACCCTGTAGGGGAAGTTAGGACTAGTTCTCTAAGCCTAACCAGCCGAGAGGAGTCCAACTGCTACCGCGACTCCGCGGCCCTCCGCTGCCCCCCTCCCCGCCCTTCCTGCTGAGCCCTTGGGCCCCCGTACACCTTTCTGGCAGTTTCTGAGCCCATTCACGTGGCCGCAGTTCTCCTTCCTTCCCTTCTTCGCGCTCTGCTGCCTGCAGACATCCCCGCCTCCCTGTCTCTGCGAATCTCTAATGAAGAAGTAATCGCAGACCGGGTGTTGACGGCCCACGCACTCCTTGTGGGGCACTTCCCGAGTTCAGGGAAGTGGAGCATGGAAGCCATTCCCTTTGTGAATGCCGAGGCCGCCGCCCCGCGCTGCCTGAGCGCCTTGGGCGCGCTGCACTCGCCTTTGCGCGTGGGCCCGGCGTGCGCGTGGCGAGGGTGGCGGGCCCAAGCGCGCCCCGACTCGACTCCGGCGGCCTCTACGCACCCCTAGGTGTGAGGGTTGCGCGCCGCGGAGGGGACCTGCTGGAACCCAAACCTCTCCACCCGCAGGGCCCGCAGCGCCTCAAGTCGCTCTTCTTATCTCACCCAATTCCCTGGCTCTCAGCTTAAAGGCCATAGTTGAGCCCTTTCCGCCTTTGCTAATGGCTCCCTCACCCCCAGCCTCTCTGGCCTGCTCCCCAACTTCTCCTCTTTCCTTCTAGGGCCCACAGAGCTGGGATAGTTTGGGCCCTACCAAGGGTGTCTTGTCAAAACGGGATCTACCACAGTTGTCTGGGGCGGGGGGGGGGGGGGGCCACGTTATGTAAAATAGCCCAAAAAAGACCCCAACAATTGTGGGAACAAGTTGGTGGTACTTTGGTCGGCATGGGGAGTGGGGTGGGGAGAAAGCAATGCAGAATTCTGTGTTAGCACTTGTCATTGCGTGCCATTCAAAAACAGTTTAAAGTTTGGGACACTAATATGTCTTACTCAACAAAAAGGGAATGCACTCAGAAAAAAAAATAGTAATTGAGTTTCGGGTCCTTGAAAAAATATATATATCCCTGTAAGGGATCAATACAGTTTTCAGAAAAGAGTTTACTCAGTGTTAGCTTATGGAATTCTATCTTTGAGAAAATAAGCACTTTACATACAGATTTCCAACATGATGTTTTCAACTCAGAGGTAAGAGAAAACTTAGCTTCCGTGAAGGCGAACATTCAAACCGCAGCAAAGCCTGGTTTTACTTGAAAATGATTGGAACCAGGGCAAGTTTAGATCTTGACCTAAGATGCCAGAAAAGGGGGTGGTGACTTGAAGGAAACGTGGTTTTGAAATCCGAACAAAAATGTCAGGGCCTGAATCTATTTCCATTATTGCCCTGGCTAGTAGTTTTGACTTTACCCTCACAGCGGGGTTCCCTGAGCTGCAAATGAAGAGTTTAGTTTTCATACAAACATAGAATTGTTGGAAGGTAAATGCCTATAAATGCAAGTCTTTGAAGTGCAGTTCTTTTGATAGCAGTCTAACTTTTTTTATTTGCCTTAGGAAGTTTAGCCACCGTGCCACCTAAGGATAGAGTTCTGAATTTTACAAAATGTATTCCTGGGTAGTATTAGAAAATTGTTCTTCTTAACTTCCTGAAGGGAACTTTTTCAGGGTGTGCCTAACCATAATAGTTAAATTAGCAGAATACCTGTGAAAGAACATACACATCCTCATAAGAACAAAAATTGAAAGCACTCCCCTACAGACACAAAAGAGGACTTCTGATAACATAATCACTTTGTACTCTTGTAAGATACCAATAAGCAGGGACTCTGTAAACTTGTTAAGAATCATTAAAAAAATTTTCAAAGCTTGCCACTTTCTTCTCTCTTTTACTTTGTAAACTACATTAGTTATTGGAATTGTCTTTCACCTTAAAGTTTTTACTGTTTTTATTTTTCTTTGTTTAACTAGATCTTGATAGAAATAAAATAGAACTTTCATTTTCTTGTTTTCTCTTAGGGATTTGAATGGAAATAACATCACACGGATTACCAAGACAGATTTTGCTGGTCTTCGACACCTAAGAGTTCTGTAAGTATGTTCTTTGGTACTTTGAAGAATTTTCTTTTGTTCTTAAGATTGCATGTTTCGTATTGTTACTGGTCTCAGATGGAAAAAATGTCCCAATGACAGAAACATAAAATTTTAAAAGGTCTAGGTTTCCTTTCTCTTTTTTTGGTTTATCATTTTATTACAGCTTTTGATGAAAATGTATGTTTTTATTTTAAGGTTGGATTCTTGCCATTGAAACAATATTATAGAAATGACCTCAAATGTTTGCTATACCATACCCTAAGTGCCTTATGCATATAAACATGTAGAATAATTGCTTTCACAATATGAATAAGTCATGTGAGACATTTCATACACTTTAAGGATTTGAGATTAACTAGAAAAAATTTAAGTAGGTCTGCAATTTATTATTACTAATATAAAAGACTTTTTAGCAAACAACACTTAGATGTATTTTCTAACGTTTAAATCAAGCAATCCAACTTTCCTGCAGTTTTTGGTGAGAAATGTTTCTCTATAAAAACACACTGGTCATATTTTGAATTGTTTCTTGTATTTTATATCTTCGTGGTTTTTATATTATTATTGCAATATGATTACTTCTTTAATTAGTGGGTAAAATTTGTGGTGGGGGAAACATCATTGGAGATTCAATGTAATGTGAAACAGTTTCTACCCACAGATTTGTAAATATTTACATTGCAGTGAACATATACTTTTGACCACTGTGTGTTGGGTGTTAATCTTTTAAAGGACACATTTTGGCCATTATGAAATCTTCTAATTTCTGATATATACCCACAAGTGAATTAAATTATGTGCATGGTGACATGCTGTATATTGATTCTTTCAGTTAAGAACTCACTCCAAAATCAGTTTACCAAAAACAGTTATCAAAACTGCCGTGTCATGGGATACTTCTCAGGATAAGCTGTAGTTGGAGGTTCAGAGTTTTGACTAGTAAGTTTTGTGCAAAACTACATTAGTATTTTCTATTGAAGTTTTGTGATGTGGATGCTGTTTGCCCTCTGTGATTTCTCTCAAATCTGTCATCAGTAAAATTTAATATTAAAGCTCAAACCAGAGCACTGCTTAATTTTATAAAAGGAAAGAGGTTACAAGTTTTCAGTTGCTGAACTGAAACTCGCTCAGATGGGGAGTGGTAACATTAAGACCCTATTATACTTTGCATTTCAGTCAGCTTATGGAGAATAAGATTAGCACCATTGAAAGAGGAGCATTCCAGGATCTTAAAGAGCTGGAGAGACTGTAAGTATTTTTAATTCCAAAGTTATGACGACATTAACTGTATTTTTTAAAAAATACTTGAATTTCAAGGGCCATGTCTTCCAATTTCATGTCTTAGTCTTTGAACGTTTTACAGAAACAAGAGGTCTAACAAGTGGCTTGCAGACTAATTTACAATTAGAAATTGTGGAATTTTGCACAAATGGTACTAACTTTTAATAAAGATTAAAAAAAAAAAATACAGGCTTCCTTTCCTGAGACATTGATTTCCTTGTGAGTTACCATTGCTTTGGTACTTAGAGAGTACATGTTTTCCTAATGGTCCATCTAGTTTGTTTTATTTGCATTTATAGGAAGAAAGGTAGTGATTTAATGTGCATTTATAGTATATTATGGAAAAGAAAAGTTTGCTAGTAGTTATTTTAATTTTCATGCTGTTGCTTTGTGTGTCATTAGTGATGTTTGAGGACATATTTTAAGTTCTTAGTGATATAAATTTGGTTTTTGATATTTATCACTTATGGTGAACATTGTTAATAATAGCTATTCACAACTGTATTTCATTATTTTATGGTAGCTTTCTAAATATTTCTCCTGGAAAAAGAATTCAAAGATTAGTAGAAATAGAAGCAAGAATTGTATTATCAAAGTATTGTCATTTTAGTGTTGATTTTTTTTTCCCCAAGAAGATCATATGGACTCCAGATTTTAAAATATATTTTATTTCTTCAGATACAGAATCTTATAGATTGATATATACTACTTGAGGGCCATTATTAATTTATATCTACAGTTTACATCTACAAAACACAGAATCTTCTGTCTGCAATAATTAAAATAAATTGTACACTTTATAGTTTGAAGTATGAATTATATGTCTCATATGTCTTGATAACTCAAGTTTAATAAGTTTGCATTTTAAGGGCAAATAACAGGTCTATTAAAAGTAGCAACAATTTCCATGCCTGCTTTAATAGGCACTTTAGGTAAAAATAAAAATTTTATTTAAAATAATGAAATATGAAGTTCATTTTAGGTATAGAACATACTCAGATTCACTGGGCCCAAGGGCAAAAGTTAATTCTGTGTAAATGTAACTAGAAAAAAAATGGCTTGTCAACTTCTAAGATATTTGTAAATATATAGGCTCCATTTTTATCACCACAAGTAAAATTAAACCCAGAGGTGTCTATTTTATTGTAAAATTTTGTCCGTAATAAATATTTCAATATAGGGAATATATCTGTGGAATTCAAAATAATTGAAAGTCACTACTGTGAGCTAGTTTTCAGAAAGAAGTAAAAACACAGTAAATACTTGGTTAAGTTCACTAAGTTCATAAGTTCATAACCTATCTCTTAGTCTATAAAAATACTCTGAAAATATACTTTGATCTCTTTCATAAGCTCTTATGAATAGTTAATTCCTAATGAGTATCTTGTAAAGGTGCTTTCAATTCATCTATTTACAAAGTATCAGTATGATTTAAGTATTTGGTAAAATGAAAAGATAATTTAAAAATTATAATTCAAATATAACATTTTTACATGAATAATTTTTGGTTATCTATGGAAATATATATATATATATATATATATATATGTGTGTGTGTGTGTGTGTGTGTGTGTATATATATTCTTAAGCAACATCCAGTTGAAGGAATTTCAGTGGCTTTTCATGTAGTCTCTATTTTGGTTTTACTATAGTTTTAAATATTTTCAGAAATGCTAGAACAGACCCAACTTTCTCATGATTTTTCAAGCCACTTCAAGTACGTTTGAACAAATGAACTTTTTCTAAATATTATTAACCAGATGGCTTGTTATCTGAAATTTGATGAGAGTTGTAAGTAGGCACTAGTTTTTGACTTTTACTTCCCTGAGAATGTCACTTCATCTCAGAACAATTTTCAGTTTTACTAAGATGCAGTCAGAGGTTTCAGAATGGGAGAAGGATTTGTAATTTTGAATGAAAACTAATATATATGCAGGACTTCTTTAAATCACCCCAGCTGTTGGCCGAAAGCAAATATTTCATATTTGTGAGGAAAAGCTGAGAAAATTCCTTTTGTTTACAACTGCCAAGTCTGTCTGATGGAAGCACATTGTTATCTGACAGCCAATTCATCTCCTTGGGACTCTGGAATTCAAAACTATTTCTTAGGAACACTGTGGATACACTTTTCAAATATTTATTTTTTTTAAATACATTAAATAGGGCAGTTTTGTTAAGGAATGCCCTCAAGTTGTCATGAAATAAACTATTAAAAATTTTGTTCAGTATATCATTTAAAAAAATAAAAATAAAAAAAAAGCTAACCAGAAGGTTGGCCTATGGGGATATGTTCTTATTTTAGTAGGTGGTCATCAACATCACAAAAATTTGCCTTTTTTCCCCCCAAAACTGCAAGAGATAATGCAAGGAACAGGAAGTGATCAATGAATTAACTTTTAAAATAATTAGATGTTGTGAGAGCTTATATGATTTTTTAGCAATTTAGATGTGAATTTTTAAATTCATACTCTAATAAAAAGATGTATAAATGTAGGCTTATGTTACAAATGCTGTTCATATAATATTTGGAGTAACTTAATTTTCATTCTTTGTGTGAAGAACACAAAATAAAAATATTAGTTACATTTGTATGTAATTTGTGGTTCTAAGTATTTTTTCATTTTAGTATAAAAGTAAAACAATTCCAAAGTGATATTTTCTGAAGATTTCAAAATTATAAGTTTTTTCTTTTTGTTTTATGTTGATAGAGTTTTAGCTTGGTCTAGAGAAAGAAGACAAGTCTGAAAACAGAAGAAAAGATTTGTACCCTTTTAGAAATCCAAATTTAATATGTAAGAAACAGATTAGACTGTTGTTAGGTTGAATTTAATTTTAGCATAGAATGAGAAGGTCATTATTTATAAATCAAAGCATTATAGCTACAAAAAGATTAATTTTGTACTTCAAAGAATCAGTGAAATACAGGGTTATTAGTCAAATGTCAAGAAATAGATGGATATTAAAAATCTTCCTCCTAAAAGAAAAAAACAAAAACAAAAAATCCTCCTCCTTCCACACTCCCTTCCCTTCTCCTTCCCCCCTACTTTCTATTGTATGGAAAACAATATCAGATAATATGATCATCATCAGAATGTGGTTATGAATTACTGTAAAAGGAGTATGTCTTAATCACACTTACACGCCATGACCACACATTACTTCCTGTTTTGACAGTTTCCTACTATACTCCTGGACCTAATATGTGCGGTGGCAGATTTCCATGCTCTGTGTTCCCAGTAGTACCTGCTTCTCTGGGAATAAAATGAAGCCTTGAGAAATGTACCTCATGTAGATATATAGGAGATCTCCCATTTGTTTAATCGAAATGTTCAACTGAGATCTAATTTAGTTAAGTAACTAGTTAATGCAATGGAAATTAAATAAGGAAAACAATCTACAAATAAACTACAATAAACAATTGGAACATTTATGACATATACTCCTTTATCCTTCAGAGAAGATACCTGGGTATATCTGCAATAAAGACTCCATGCAAAATTGTTAATTCAAAGTAATTCTTGGCTGGTGCATAATGTCTTTGAGGGTTAAAAAAAATCACACTGGGGCCCAGAACATTTGTGGGCTGGTATAAAATTCTGTTGCTCACTTATACTTTATGGGATTATGCTGCAGTCATTAAAGTTCTATTTTACGGCCTTTTAAGGAGACCCAGGCCACTTCAGTTTCCCAGTAGTAAATATCATCGGTGTTTACGGGTTCCTAACACAAAAGCACTGAGTATGAGAAAGTTTTGAAATTGTTTAAGGTTATCAAAAAAATATTAAGACATTAAGTCCTAAATGTGGTGAAACACTTACATGCAAAATAAAATGCTGATATTCCTGAATTATGTTAGTGAAAACCAACAGTATACCATAGGAAATCTTGGGTATTAGACTTTACTTTAACTTTATAATCATCTTGTACTCTTTTTTTTTTTTAATTAATTAATTTATTTGACAGACAGAGATCACAGGTAGTCAGAGGCAGGCTGAGACAGAGAGGCGGAAGCAGGCTCCCCGCTGAGCAGAGAGCCAGATGCGGGGCTCGATCCCAGGACTCTGGGATCATGACCTGAGCCGAAGGCAGAGGCTTTAACCCAATGAACCACCCAGGCTCCCCAATCATCTTGTACTCTTATGATAAGGAAATTGCAGTAGCGATAATGGCAGAGATTGGGCTGTTTTTCTTTTCATAACAATAACATGGAAGGGTGTTCTTTTACGACAAGCATAGTGTTCAGCTCTCCAAGTTTTGGCATCTTCAGATTTGAAATTATATTTTGTCTACTATGTCATTTGATATGCTTTTTTTGCTTAAAAAAGGAGTCCTGAAGTACTATGATGAAGCCATGTAGGGATTTCTGGAAAAGAATGCTGTCCACTTAGACATTAACAGATTTCTATAGAGTCTATATAAAGAGAATACTTATTTTAGTGTAGAAAAGTCTAAATCCCTTTAAATTTGACCAAACACTACACTCCCAGGAGAGGATATCTAAAGGACACATTATTATTATTATTATTATTATTATTGTTATTTTAAGGTGGTGCTCAATTAGTTCTGTATGCACACACCATTCATTAGCATGTGACAGCCAGTTTGAGGAGGAGGAATTACGGTGCTCTAGGAGTTTTGTTGTAGGTTGCTACACATGAGTCCAAGTAGAGAATATTTTGTGGAACAGGTCTGAAGGAAAGCACCACTTATCCCCTGTTCATCAAGGATGTAGAGAATCAGGGCACCTGGGTGGCTCAGTGGGGTAAGCCTCTGCCTTTGGCTCAGGTCATGATCTCAGGGTCCTGGGATCCAGCCCCATATCTGGCTCTCTGCTCAGCAGGGAGCCTGCTCCCCCCTCTCTCTCAGCCGGCTTCTCTGCCTACTGGTGATCTCTCTCTCTCTCTCTCTGTCAAATAACTTAAAAAAAAAAAAAAAAAAAAGGATATGGAGAATCCCTCTCCTGACTA